CTTCTTCTTCTTCTTCTTCTTCTTCTTCTTCTTCTTCTTCTTCTTCTTCTTCTTCTTCTTCTTCTCCTTCTTCTCCTCCTCCTCCTCCTCCTCCTTCTCCTTCTCTTCCTCCTCCTCAAGTTGTTGTTGTTGTTGTTGTTGTTGTTGTTGTTGTTGTTGTTCTTCTTCTTCTTCTTCTTCTTCTTCTTCTTCTTCTTCTTCTTCTTCTTCTTCTTCTTCTTCTTCTTCTCCTTCTTCTTCTTCATCTTTTTGAGACAGGGTTTCCCTATGCAATTGCAGTCCAGGCTGGCCTCGAACTTACAGGGATCCTCCTGCTTCAGCCTCCCAAGTGCAGGGATTATAGGCTTTGGCCATCATGCCTGGCTGCAGGTGCCTCCTCTTGTGTGAAGGACCAAAACCATTTTCTCCTGAACTTACTCAGTTTCGTGTGTTTATCAGAAACTCAGGGCTGCTCCGCCTGTGTTCGCTGCCCCCAGAGCAAGATGATCGTTCCTAAAGAGCACAGAGGGAACAGCAGGCACTGGAGCCCAAGGCTGGAGACTGAACTGCGTCTGTTCTCTGCTGCAGTGGCCAGGAGCCAGCAGGAGCTTTCGCTGGCCAGAGAGATAGTTGTGAATTGTCCCGAAAGCGAAAGCATTTGCCTCACCGGGCCCATTGTTGAGATCTGTGTCCTGAGGAGTAAACAAAGGAAAGAAAAAGAAACTTGAGCCAAGCCACTGCAAGTTTAATGTGCCTGACAAATGAAGGACAAGATTTCTAAAGATTATTTATGAAACTAAGTTTAAAATACCAAATTTTGACCAAAAAAATCATCTTCAAATGAACTTCAAATCATTTTAGTACTAATTATATAATTTGTTGTTTTTTGTTTGGTTGGTTTTGTTTTGGTTTTTGGAGGGTTTTTTTTTTTTTAAATTTTAGGATAGTCTATAGGGTGTTCAGGGTCTCACTACCAGATCCGACTCATAGTGATCCACTTGTTTACAGTCTACCAAGAGCTGGGATTACAGGCACGGGCTTCACCACAACCAGTCTCAGTTGCCATCTCAGCATGCCCTGGGGTTGGGGCTGGCACAGCAGGCCCAGGGATTAAATCCATGGCCCCATTCTTCAGGTGATGGGCATCTTGGTTGTTTCCAAGATTTGGCTATCACAAATTGTGCTGCTATAAACATAGGCACACATATATCCCTATGATATGA